CGACAAACACTTCATTAGGGGGAGACAATACGAGGGGAAAAAGGAAAGACGGATGGTGCTTTGACAAAATCAAAGGGAGCAATCCCCTTTGATAAGTAGACCTTACAGATAAAAGGCACAAAGGGAAAAAGTAAACAGCAAAATAAAATTCATAGATGTGTCTCTGTCTGTTCCTCTGGAAACATTTGATGTAGTTTTCTGGCTCAGGTCACTTGCAGAAATTGGGTTCTATTACTTATGACCTGCTTATAACTTAGACATGTGGCTTTTAAGGGCACAGGAAGGTGCCAGGAAGTCTTGACTGACCGAAAGGATTATGAGACAAGCTTCATGGCTACTTGAAGAGGATCCTCAGGTCTTAGAATAAACATTTTGGAGCTAGCTGCCTTAAGTTGCTTTTCAGTTGTGTTTGACTCAGCCATGAAGATCTACTTCTGAGTTTACATGCCCCTGCTAGCATAGTCAGCTGCTTACCCAGACCAGTTACCAGTTACCAGAAACACCAGGCATGGGGGCTCACGCCTGTAATTCCTGCTACTGGAGAGACTGAGTTACCAGTTACCAGAGCCAAATCCATGGCTGACTCACAGAATCATATCATTTTACAGCTAGAAAGGTCTTATGGATTATTTAGTTCAATTCTCTCAGTGAACTAGAGCCTAGAGAGTTGAAGTCACTTACCAAATGTTACATAGCTAGTAAACGGCAGAGCCCAATCCAGTGTTTTTTCCAAGACACTATGATGCTTTACCTAGTAAAACTTCCACTAACTTATATAATGACATTAGGTCTAGAAAATTGCATTGTTAAGCACTCCTATTGTCCAAGACAATCAGATTTTCTTCTAATGCAAAGCAAAATGCTTCTGGCAACCCTCTACTGAGTCACATAAGACAAATCCCTTTAGTACCCCATCACTTGTCCAATGTGCTGGATACCAAGCAATCCTGATGGAACTGTTAATGGGACAAGGTGCAGGGATTTAAACAAAGATGTTTGCTCTAATGTGAAGGCTGTGGCTGGAGACATCTACGTGTCTGTTACACAGGCATCTTCTCTCAAGAGGTATGTAACAGGCTTGATGTCAAAAGCTATGATTTGAATGGAAGAAAGTAATAGCACCTAAAATACGGTATTCATGAATGATGAGAGTTTGTGTCCAGGCAAAATCCCTATCTTTAAAAGTCATAGTTTTGCTTATAGTATCATAGCATCATGGACTGGAAGTGATTTTGGGGATCATTAGTTCAACCCTCTCATTTTACAGATTCAATTCAACTCAGCTGCCATCCATTAAATTCCTATTATGTGCAAGGTACAATGTTGGGCAATGACAAAAAAAAAGACAAAAATGACAGTCCTTGCCCTCGAGGGACTTAAATTTTATTGTAGGGATACAACATCTACACAATAAGTAAATATGAAATATTGTTGTTATTTGTCCTCCATTCTTGGAGGAACTTGACATCATGGAGGTGATGCCATGACATGCAAGTGAATTGTATTTAAGTGAGGAAGGGCTGTGCAAAGTCACCAGCCTCACTTTCTCCTCCAGCGCCATTTGGGTCCAGTGGCAAGATATACATCAGGATGACTGGAGATGCCTCAGAAGCAGTGGGAGACCTTGACCTTTTCAAGGTAAGGTCTTTAACAGATCTCAGTTTGTCTGAGGCAATGCCCATCGCCCATTCAGTGATTAAGGCAAGGTAAGAAAATACATATGGGGGAAGCTAGGTGGCGCAGTGGATAGAGCACCGGCCCTGAAGTCAGGAGGACCTGAGTTCAAATCCGACCTCAGACCAAACACTTGACACTTACTAGCTGTGTGACCCTGGGCAGGTCACTTAACCCCAATTGCCTAAAAGTAAAAAACAAACAAAAACCAAACAAAAATACATATGTATAACCAGGGGCTCAAAGCCCATTTCTGTAAGATTCTTCTCATAAGCTGAGACTGATTAATCAGTACTTAGTGCCTTCATGAGTGGCAGAGTTGGAGGGAGTTTGGGAGAAGAGAGATCTTGGTCTTCTGGCTTCCAGCTTCAAGAGAGAAGATATGAGGCTCCATATTTACTTCAGGGAGAGGTCCGTGAAGGGAGAGAGACTCTGGGAATAAGCCTACATGTAAAGAAGCTTGCACCTAAATCATATGCCTATCCCCAGATTATTACTCTAGAGTCTTTGGGTAATTTTCTCTTGAATGAGCTCTAGGATTCTCTCTCTTGGTTGAGTTGAGATATCTCACTCTCAGTGGGACAGCTTATTTACTCGGTGCATTGTCTGGTATAGTGTCATCTCTAAACCATCTCCGATTTCTGCTTTGCTACCAGCTTGAATAATCATGGGTTTATTTGCTATTTGCTATGTGTGGTCTTTGTGTAACTGCCATTTGGTGGAAAGGGAGTCAGTCAAACCTTGGATACATAGGCTTAAGTTACTCCTTCCCCATTAAGGGTTAGCAATCAGAAACACAGCTTGAACCTAAAATTACTTTCCTTAGAGTAACAACATTGGAGGGGGGTTCATAGATATGATTCTTGCTCAGTACTCCTCTTTCTGAGGAGAGTGTAGGGACCAGCTTCATAGCCCCAATTTCCTGTTTTCTCTCCTGGCAGGAATTAAAGTTCTCTTGGAGAAGGGAACGTAGAAAAGACTAGAGATAGCTATCTTTCATGTCTCCTGGGGAGTCACATATAGACAGACCCATGTGAATACACATAGCCTATGTAGAAAACACACATATACAAACACATACTTTACACAAAATAATTTTAAGAGTTAGAGTGCTAATAACTGGAGAGATGAGGAAAGACCTCGTGATGGAGGTGACACTTAAACTGTGTTTTGGAAGAAGCTAGGGATTCTACAAAGTAGAGGTGATGAGGGAAGTACATTCCAGAGATGGGGGCGGGGCACATTTGTGTAAAGCTATCTGAGTAGAGGATGGCTTGGATGGGGAGAGACTTGGAGCAGGTAGACCAATCAGAAGGCTATTGCAATATTCCAGACCCTTATTTTTTCTCCATGAAAGTTTCTCATGGATACAATTACAATGACTTGAATGTGAACCACATAGACATCCCACAACCATGTCGATCATCAGAGCCTACAGTATGTCTCTCTCTCGGAATGCCTTCTGCTTTGATGTGTCCTCCTGATATAAAGATTATCCTGGGATCCTGAAAGATATGTCCAAAGACTACAAGCTCTGCAAGGTCTGACCGAGATATAAAAATTTTGAGCGATTAGAATGGTTGTAAGTTATGTCATTTGGGCAACAGCCTAGAGAAGTTCAGAGACATTGATCAACAGTTTGGCCCAAGGGTGGTGAGTTTTAGCCTCATCAACCTCAAAGATTAAAATACATTGTGCAGAGGTTGCAATCAATGCTGGTTCAATGCCCTCTTATCTCTGTTTACACCCTCAATTTTTTTCTTCCCCTCACCCCAAATAACTGGGAATAAACTGAGAATTCTTATTTGAAATTCACTTTCTTTAGCTGGTGTAAAGCCAGCAGCATTATGCTGAGTTGAGACATAATGCTGCTGGCTTTACACCAGCAAACAGTAAGAAATGCCAGGTATGGGGCTCACACCTGTAATTCCTGTTATAGGAGGCTGAGGCTGGTGGACCTCCTGAACCTGGGAGTTTTGAGCTAAGCCAATGAGGTGTCAGTACCAAGTCTGGCATTAATATGGTGAGCCCTTGGGAAAAGAGAACCAGCAGGTTGCCTAAGGCAGGGGGAAGCAGCCCAGGCTGGAGGTCAACGGTCTTGTGCTGATCTGTGAATGGGCCCTGCATTTCCAACATGGGCAAGATAGGGATATCCTGTCTTAAAACAAAACAAAACCAACCAGCCAACAAAACCCCAGCTACTTATTAGGGACCTGCTATGTGTTGGTCACTCCAGCATACAAGGTTCCTGTCCTCAAAGAGCTTAAATTCTACTGGGCCAAGAAATGATAAGGAATCTACAAAGTAGGGGTTTCCAACCAGCAAACGAAGCGTTTTGGTAGATTTCAAAGCCTTTCCTGGTAGAGCTCTAACCAGGCTGGTACCATGTGGGTTAAGAGAATTCGGTCAAGCGAAATACAGAGTAGGGCCTAGGTAGGAGCCATTTATTCAACTTGCTCTCCTGTAGAGCTGCTTAGACACAGACATTCCTACTCACCTTTATTTTATTTATTTATTTTGCTTTTTTGGTGAGCAATTGGGGTTAAGTGACTTGCTCAGAGTCACACAACTAGTAAGTGTCAGAGGCCAGATTTGAGCTCAGGTCCTCCTGACTCCAAGGCCAGAGCTCTATGTACTGTGCCACCTGGCTGCCCCCCTTTTATAGAAACAACAATCACATTGCTCTCTTGGATTTAAATTATGCACTAGTTCCCAGTTTGTCTTTCAAGGCTATGTAATGGAGTTTTATAAGCAGACACATCATGGTAGCCCAAGAGAGCTTTTTCTCTCTAGAAACACCTACAGAGTCCACTGGTCATGATCACTCCTCCTTGGTCATGAGGAAACACTTTCAATCAATCAGCTACTTCAAGTACTAATATTAGTGAACAATTCAAGTTTAAATATTCCCATCCCCTTAGCTGTTCACTGAACTTAGCAAGAAGAAAGGAGCTAGTTGCATTCTATTTCCACTGAAATGAAAGTAGGGAGGAACTGAGGTATAAATAAGAACTCTTGGATTTTAAGAGGTGAGGGGCATAACTGGCTGTGTACCTCCCTTTCCTTTCTTCTTTGAACAGGCCCAGGTTGTCTAAATAGCAGGGACAACTGGAGAGGGTATCTCTTTACGTTTCTGTATCACAGTCAGTGAAACCTATGATCTCTTCTGTGAAGCCTATGGACCCCTTCTCAGAATCATGTTTATAAATGCATAAAATAAAATACATAGGATTTACAAACCAAATTATATTGAAATACATTTATCAAAATAGATATTAAAAAAAGTTCATAGACTCCAGTTTAAGCAGTCTCATATTCGGCCTCACCTAGTTATTTCCTCTCTCAGGGCAGCTGGATCTGCAGGGTAAAACTTCACTCGGAAACACATGGTGAATGGAGGCTGGGCTGCAAAAAAAGCAGGTGACTGTCAGGAATGATAAACTCTCAGAAAATGACTATGTCCCCATTCTATGACGCACAAGTCATTACACTATTAGCAAAAAAAAAATCCAGGTTTTTAGAGCCAATGTACACATAGACAATAGATATGTACTTTAAGTACAGGTTGACTGTGTAGGGAAACCATCCCAGCCTGCCCCTCACAAATGAATGGTAGTGCCAGCCTCAGAGTAAATAATACTTACATCTCAGCTGTTTCACCACAGACTTTGTAAACTCCAACCAATGCTAAAATGGAGAAGACAGAACGAGACAATTGTAATGAGGAGTGGCAAATATAAACTAGTCCAAATACTTTAAACAGTGAGACAGTTTATAGCTCAGGGTAAAAGTAATCATAAAGGCTGTGACATGTAGATTTAGAAATAAAGACCTGACAGGACTTTCTGAAGTAGAGTGTTCTCATGGAACCAGCTATGTAAGAGAATTGCTCTCTCTCTTTCCATACACAATACATAAATACATACATAGACATGTGAATATATGCATATATATGAGTTACATAATTTGTATATGTGTATACATGCATGCATGCACATCTATGTGCACCACTACACACGTGTCAACATACATACGTGTGGGCACACAGGACGCATGCACGTCCATGTGTGTTGCTAGATAATGCCTCTATGTGAGATATACATAGCTATACATAAATGTATATATAGTAATACACATCTACATGTGTGGATATATACATAGATTTATATAGTAACGTATATGTGTGTGTATCTATATCTCTTTATATTTTATGTCTATAACTATCTATCTATATGTATACATACATGGCAGGTAGGTGGCACAGTGGGTAAAGTACTGGGCTTGAAGTTAGGAAGACCTGAGTTCAAATCTGGCCTCAGATACTAGCTGTGTGACCCTGGGCAAGTCACTTAACCCTGTCTGCCTCAGTTTCCTAATCTATAAAATGAGCTGGAGAAGGAAATGGCAAATCACTCCAGTATCTTTGCAAAAAAAACCCCAAAAGGGGTCACAAATAGTTGGACACTACTGAAAAACAACCTAACAACTACATATATACACATATACACAGATGCACATACACACATACATATATACACACACAGAGCTCAATGTTTGGGCTTATCTAAAAATGGGAATACATTAGAACTGAAGTCAACAGCCTTCCAAAATCAGTGTGTCAAAATTCTAATCTCTGTTTTTGTGGCATGCCTCCGTGTGTGTGTGTGTGTGTGTGTGTGTGTGTGTCTCCATGCCAGTTCTCAAAGTGATGACAGTGGCTATCCGTAACAGTTCCTGAATGTGCTGACAGGAGTATTATCTTTTAAAAAAACCTTTCATTTTTATGGATCTCATTTGTTTTTATATCACCTTCATTTCTAAATATATCCCTTCCCCCTCCCCTAACCAGAGAGCCAATTCTTGCAATAAAGAATAAAGAAAAGATTTTAAAAAGGGTACTTTAGCAAAAACTAACCAAAACATTAACAGTCTGATGGCATATGCCATATTTCAAGCCCATAGTTCCCTACTTCTGTGAGGAAAAAAGGAAGAGTATTTTCAAAGGTGTGGAGTTGTGCTGGTGGGAACTGAGAAGTGAAAAGTGAAAAGTGACCTGCCTGTGCCACTTCTGGCACCGATGTCACAGACTGCTGCCCCCAGAATAATCTGAGAACACTGGCATCCCAGGAACTGACAATCTTGGACTCTCACAAATTGATACGGAGCCTGGAATGTCCAGAAAAGTGAATCCACTTCCTCTGGATTGATACAGCAGGAGTTGCCAGTGAAGATAACAGGGCTATCAGCCCCAAACGCTTTCAGCAATAGCTTTGTTTTTAGATAGGAGGAAACAGGTTATTTTACAACTGTTTCCCATTATCAGCTCCGTTGTCCACAGAGCACCCCATAAACATCCATTATTGATGCTGTCCCCCTGTACATCATTAACGCTAATTAGTCAGCATCCATGACAATTTACTAAGATTTCTGAGTTTCACACAAAAACCCTAGACCACAGCAGTTCAAACTGTGGCCTTGACACCTTAGTGGCAACCTTTGGGAACACTTGAAGGGAGGACGCATCCCATCCCTGCCTGCTCCCCAAGCCGGTTTTAGTGTAACATCCCAGCTGAAATCTTGGACTGGCTCGAAGGTAGGTGGCAGAGGCATCCTGGCCTCAGCTTCCCACATCTCTCCTTTGTGGGTTTGGGTCATGCAGCTAATGGACCCCTAAGAGCCAGCTCTGCTGTCAGCTCTACATGGATAATCTGGACTGACATCTTGCTCTCTTGTTTCCACTGAACTGAGCTCCCGCGAGGCAAGCAACTTATTATAGCAGTTCAATGTGGTTAAGAGGTCCCTCTCACATTACACAGCCCACTGCTGCTCTGGCTTCACAGACGAAGCCAAGCTGTAAGATTTAATTGCATGGAAACAACTGGAATTCTATACTAAGAAGGATGACACCCCTTCCACTCTGCAGAAGGAAAGAGCAAAGAAATCTGACTGCTGTGGGGGATCTGTCTATTCCTTGGTCAGAGAAACTGAACGGCAGACAAAGTCTAGGAAACAAAACTATTTTAGTCCAATAGATACACAGATAGATGCCACAAAGGCACATTCAAATAAACAATGAAAAAGACAAGCATGCAGAGAAGGAGTGACTGAAATGCTTTATCAGCAAGGGCTAATGAAAATGAATAACAAAAAATACTATTAACTGGAGCAACAGTTCCATAGTAGCACCTTTATGAACTTTAATGAGAGAGGGCTTAACCTGGAAGAAATGAGAGTCATGGAAGGAGAGGGAGGTGGGTAAAAAGAGAGGTAAATTCTTTTTCCTTTCTCCTTTTTTTTTGGGGGGGGTGAGGCAATTGGGGTTAAGTGACTTGCCCAGAATCATACAGCCAGTAAGTGTTCTGTGTCTAAGGCCAGATTTGAACTCAGGTCCTCCTGACTCCAGGGCCAGTGTTCTACCCACTGCACCACCTAGCTACCCTGAGAGATAAATTCTAAACAGCTAGCCCAATAGTCCTTTTAAAGACCAGATGGATATATTTGGTCAAGATCTGGAAGAGAATGGAGTAAAGAAGAAACATACCATCCGCCACCTGCCAGAGAGGAAGGAGGGAAAGTTTGGAAAGAATGGGAGGAAACAAGCATTTATAAATATTTTCTCATTTGATCCTCACAACAACCCTGTGACGCTGATGCCATTATGATCCCCATTTTAAAGTGGAAGAAACTGAGGTTAAGTGATTTGCCCAGGGTCACACATCTAGTGAGTGTCTGAGGCCAAATTAGAACGCAGGTCTTCCTGACTCCAGGCCCAATGTGCTATCCAGGCACCACCTAGCTGTCAGAGAGCTGACGGACTTCAAATGAAAAATAAAACGATGGCAATGTGGGAATTTGTTTTGCTGGATTATGCATATTTGGCATGAGAGCTTAAAATTTTTTTAACTGCTCAGTGATGGGGAGAGGGAATTGCAGAGAGAGCTAATAATGCTTGTGTAAACAAATACCACTTTTTTAAAAAAAGAAGAGAATGGAAAACTACTAATATGTCTGTCTGTCTGTCTGTCTCTCTCTCTTTCTTTTATTGGTGAGGCAGTTGGGGTTAAGTGACTTGCCCAGAGTCACACAGCTGGTGAGTGTTATGTGTTTGAGGCTGGATTTGAACTCAGGTCCTCGCGACTCCAGGGCTGGTGCTCTATCCGCTGTGTCACCTCGCTGCCCCCAAATGTCTCTTTTTGAGAGCTTGCATCTTAGTACCAGCGCCATTGAACTATTTTGATAATCAGGGACTGAAGGGAGGAAGAAAGACTAAACTACAAATACCAAGATCTCTGGAGTCCAGAGAGGATCAAATATATTCCCAGAGGGAGGCAGCATGGTTTGGTGGGAAAAGCACTGGATTTGAAGTCAGAGGTCCTGGGTTTGAATCCTGACTTTGCAATTTACCTTTACTAGTTGTGTGAACAAAGGATCACAGGCCAGAGCTAGAAGGACATGGTCTAATCCCCTCATTTTATAGATAAGGAACCTGTAGCCCAGGGAGGTTAAAGGTTACACAGAGAACAAGCATCAAAGCGGAGATTTGAACTCAGGTCCTGATTCCTACTTTCGTCCCTTATCACAATGAGTAAGTCTCTGTGGGGCTCTGTTCCCTCATATGTAAAATGAGGGGGTCAGACTCAATGACCTCTAAGGTACATTCTAAATCTGCAACAATCTTTTGAGTTGGCTGCTATTACGATTCTCATTTTAAAGATGAGAAGATGAGGCTGAGAGCCTGTAAATGGCTTTTGACAGTTACATAGCTACTTAGCAACAGAGATGGGATTTGAACCTTGGCTTCCTGATTCTAAGTCCAGCATTCTATCTACTTACATGACCCTGTTTCCCCTTTCTAGTCTTAATTCCATCACTCTGATTTTTCGATCCCTTCTGGATATGCTTCAACCCACATGAAAAGCTATGGAACACATTTTATCTTTAAATCCCCATACACCACTACTGAGAATGCTGTTTAGGAAACATATAGATCTGAAGGCAGCTGGATTTCCTTCTGAAATAGTAGTATTTCAGATAGATTTTTTTTTAATTGGGTAGGGATTTTGCTTGAAATGACTCTAAGTATTGCAAGAAACATAAAATAATATACCAGATCTTTCTGTGGTGGCTAAGAATTGGAAATCGTGAGGATTCCCATCAATTGGGGAACAGCTGAACAGGCTGTGGTATATGAATATAATGGAATACTATTGTGCTATAAGAAATGATGGACAGGTGGATTTCAGAAAAACCTGGAAAGACTTATATGAACTGATGCTGAATGAAGGGAGCAGAACCAAGAGAACATTGTACACAGTAACAGCAACATTGTGCGATGATCAGCTTAGCTCTTCTCAGCAATACAATGATCCAAGACAATTCCAAAACACTCATGATGGAAAATGCTATCTACACCCTGAGAGAGAACTATGGAGCCTGAATGCAGATCAAAGCATGCTATTTTGACTTTTGTTTTTGTTTTTCTTTTTTGTGGTTTCCCCTTTCGTTTTGATTCTTTTTTTTTACAACACACATAATGTATAAATATGTTTAACATGACTGTATATGTATAATCTATATCAGATTGCTTGCTGTCTTGGAGAGGGGGGAGTGAGAGGAGGGAGAGAGAAAAATTTCGAACTCAAAGTTTTACAGAAATGAATGTTGAAAACTATCTTTACATATAATTGGGAAAAAATACTATTAAATAGAAAAAAAAAGAAACATAAAATAAGATTTCTAAACAAGTTTGTATTACATGCTAATGAGCCAAGGCCCTTAATTTGTTCCACGCTTCAATAAAAAAAGTCACGTACTCGTACAGATGGCTTTTTAAACTGTAAAATCATTTGTCAAGCCATTTTCAAGAATGTCTTGATCATCTTCTTCTTCATTAAGAACAGACATGGACTGGGCTCCCATAACACATTTGGACACGAAGCTTTGGCAAAAGATAGAAAGTGGCTCAGTACCACATTTCAACCCTAAGGAAGGCCTATGTCAGGATAATAATTGAGATCTGTGCAGGGTGATGGTCAAAGTGCCATCTCATCTAAACAGCTGAACATCCTCAATATTATTGCTGAGCTGGTATATTGTTAAGGCCAGGAAGAATGAAGCATATTAATAAAATGTAGGGCTTGTGAGTTCTGGAAGGGGGAAAGGGAGGTCTGGGATGGAAGGGAAATAAAGGAGGGTTATACAATCCTCTTACTCCTTTCTAAATTTGGTGTTTTCAAATGAAAAAATGCTGAACGTGAGCTGTAGCTGTTTGCAGCTGAGGACACCAAAGAACAAAATACTGCTTGATTCCATTAAGCGTTTTTGCTCATGGACCTCCCTGCTCCACATCTGGGGCCTTAGAGGATGTGGGAGAAGTACCTCTGAGAGTTACAACCCTCCATGCAGCATTTTCAATCACAGAACCCAGCAGGGTTAACCTTTGAAAGGCAGAGAGACCTCCAAGTGGAGGCAGATGTTGAAATCAATAAACAGCAAGCAGATTGTCAATGCTGAAAGCAAAATCCTAGACCTCAGGACAAGACTTTGCTATCAAAGGATAATTAGTCTCAAATGGATTCAGTAAGTATTTGAGTGCCTACTATGGGCAAGACATTGTGCATTGTAGAGGTAACAACTATGTCAAGCACATTCTCCCTTGCTCTTCCAAAAACATATGTAGCAGTTGGTTTATTTGAATTTACTGACATGGGAGGGAGAGAGAGATCCAGGTATGAAGAGTCTCATCTCTTGGAATGAGACCAAGATGAGAGGAGGAATGCCTAGTGTTTTTTGCTAGGCTATTCTAGATCAGAGGCATCAAACAGAAGACCACAAAGCAGCCTCAATGGCTGCTCAAGGCCCCACTCAACATTTCTAAGCAGGGAACCAGATTAAAATGTAATTGGGAAATATTTTACAAAATAAATAAAAATACAATAGAAGACAGATAATGCTAATATGCGGTTCTCTAAGTCAGTGTATGGGGGCCACTAGGTGGCTCAGTGGATAGAGTGAGAGGCCTGAAAGAAGTAAGATCTGAGTTCAAATGTGACCTCAGACATTTGCTAGCTGTGTGACATTGGGCAAGTCACTTAATCCTGTTTCCCTCAGTTTCCTCATCTGTAAAATGAGCTGGAGAAGGAAAGAGCAAATCACTCCAGTATCTTTGCCAAGAAAACTCCAAATGGAGTCATGAAGAGTCAGACATGATTGAATAACAACCAAAATCAGCATATAGCTTGTAGGAATCCTTATGTAGAGTTTAATGGCCCCAATTTCTACAAGAGTTTGCTACTACCAAAGTGAACAGACCCTGCTTCAAGATGAGAATACTAGTCCTAAAAAGACACTTGCTAGTTGTGTGAGCAGTGGACAGATGAATCCCTTTATCCTCTGATGCAACAGGCATTCAGAGAAGGGAGGGAACTGGAGGCTCCTCCCATGTAAGATTCAGAGCTAGCAGAGGCTGGAAAAAAGCTGAAGATGGGAAATTTAAAAGAGGCGCCTGGGGGAAATAATGTGGAAGCCAGATGGTATGAACTTTGGGGGAAGGTGAAGGGAGCTGGAGAAAAAGTGGCGATCAGCATGAAGCCATCCTGCCCACTCACCCTCCAGCTGTTTTCATGAGAACTTTAATAGCCCAGCTATGCAGTCTTTGAGCTGGAGGCAGGCCCAGGGGAAAAGCGAAGAAGAGAAGGGGAGCTAGAAGCAGGGGAGCTGAAGAAGAAGCGAGAAGCCTGCCAAGAACAGTCATCTGCAGCTGTGGCCGTGAACAAAGCAGGGACTGAAGTGGAGAATGCTGAAGAGAAGCAGAGCTATAACAGGACTCAGCTAGTATCTGCAAGTACCCAGCCATGCTAAAGGCATCTAGGAGTGGCCGCAGCAGTGGGAGGGGGAGAGCTGAATGCTAGCACCTGAACAATACTTCTCTGAGTTCCTGGGTTTGGGCATGTCTGCATACAAAGTGGGGTTTGGCTGCTCTGTTTGGGAAAAATTTCGTATGCTCAGCCTCATTCCTCTCTAACAATATGATTAAAGTGCCACATTCAGGAATGCTATGCTTTTGGGAGTGAGTAACCTTCACTGAAATATAACAGAGATGGATGAAGGGGTAAAAGGTTGTCCCCTCCAAGTGGTTGAGAGCATCTCCAGCTAAGACTCTGGTTGGATAAATCCACATTAAGCTCCTCAAGACTAGAGGTTCTTAACCTGGGGTTCAGACTCTTCCAGAGTCCTTGAAATTGGACAGGAAAAAATTAAATCTTCATTTCAATATAATTGGTTTCTTCCGTAATCTCATGCATTTTATTTTACGCATTCAAAAGCATGACTCTGAGAAGGGGTCCTTAGGCTTCACCAGACTGCCAGAGGGGTCTATGACACAAAGAGGGTTCAGAACACTTTCCTTAGACTAAGAGACAAATGTTGCCACCCAGAAAAGGAGCAGAATTAGGGGAGAAGTGCATCCAGCTCTCTGAGAGACAGGGAGACTGTATCACTTTAGAGCACTGGGTAGAATGCATAACTGTCAAGGATGAACAGTTAACTGACATCATTTGGTCTTGATTACTAAGCAAGATATGGGCAGCTAGGTGGCAAAGTGGACACAGTGGTGGGCCTGCAGTCAGGAAGATGAGTCTTCCTGAGTTTAAATCTGACCTCAGACACTTACTAGCTGGGTGGCTATAAAAGTCACTTAACTCTGTTGCCTCAGTTTCCTCATCTGTAAAATGAGCTAGAGAAGAAAATGATAAACCCCTCCAGCAGTATCTTCACCAAGTAAATCCCCAAATGGGGTCAAGAAGAGTCAGACACAGCTAAACAACTAAGCAGGATCAGGTAGCTGGTAAGAAGCACCCCCTGGTGGTTAACTGTAAGATTAGAAGGTTGGATTAGTTGACTTCTAAGGTCCTTTCCACCTTTTAAGGTTCTATGATTCTAAGAGATAAGGTCCTACTGGAAGGGTCAACACTACTGGAGCCTGATCGTTAGGATTAGAGTCTAGATACCAGTGAAAGACTGCTCACTACCCCAAGCTCCTATTATTCTTTAAATTCAGACTTACCCTCTGCTTATCCGGGTCCACAAAACGGATTCCAAAATAGTCTTTTTCAAGTAAGTTCAAGTGGTGGCAAAGAAGATCAAACAGGTACTGGCCTTTGGCATCTCTCTGCAAAGAAAGGACATGACATTGAGAGATGGTTGGACACTTTCAACACAACCCCAGATTGATCTTCCTAAAATATAGCTCTGTTCATTTCAACAATTCAATTCAACAACATTTGCTAAGTGCTACTATGCGAAGAATAGTGCTAGGAGCTAAGAATTACAAAGAAGGTAAATGACACTGTCCCCACCCTCAAAGAGCTTGATACCTGCACGTTGATGAAGCATAAGAGATAAGATGAGATATAACACAAGACACTGATCTATGTTCAAGTCACCAGCTGCTACACTGAATCTTAGTTCAATCAGTCCACTGTTCTTTTTTAGCATTAAACTGGCCTATAACTAACAATGCTCATATTAATAATATACATTGTCTCATTTGCTAGAGAGTAAAGGCAGAGCATTATCCTTATTGGACTTTTAGAAGGGTATGTAGATTAAGATTTAGGAGGGTGGGGGGGGAGGCTAAGGGAGGGACTCTTAGAGGGGTGGGTAGAATAAAGGATAGGAGGATAAAGGGAGAACATAAGAATAGGGATAGGGTAAAAAGAGAGGCTGGGGAGGACAATAGTGAGTAAAAATAAGATGGAAAGAAATTCACAAACAGTAATTATAACTTTGAATGTGAATGGGATGAACTCACCCATAAAAGTGAAAAAGAACTGATAAACAGAAGTATGTATAGCATGATTGTATATATATATTATACATATTAAGAAATCTATATAACTTTATTATATATTTGAAAGGAATGGTAAGTTGTACATAATAGATTTGCAGTTTCATGTGCAATCATCTTTTTAAAAAATTATTATTATACTATGTTATGGAAATGCTTGTATTATTCCATAAATTAAAAAATAAAAGAAATTTAAAAAGAAATGTAAACTATATGAGCCCCAAACCATTACAGTGCTAATGAAGTTCAGTTCAGCTCAAGTGCCACTTCTTATTCATTCCTATGCTACAAGCGCTTTTTCCCCTCTCCCCCCCATTACTTTGTATTTATGCATATATGTTTTCCCCAGTCAAAACATAAGCTCCTTAATTGCAGAGAATACTTCATTTTTGTCTCTGCATTCCCAGTTCCTAGAGCAGTACCTGGCACATAATAGGTAAATAATAATAGTAAAATAATACAGTAAAAATATAAAAATAGTAAAATAAAAATAGGTAAATAACAAACTTATTGTTAGTCGAAATTTATCAATCAAACTAGACTATACTTTTGTCTCCTCTAGAGTAGGGACATCGATTATTTCTTTGTGCCTCCCCACAATGCCTAGTGAAGTGCTTTACACATAATTAGTGCCTGCTAATTCACAATGAAGAGCTAATATTAAAAAAAAAATTCATCTTGGAGCCAAGGCTATGTTTCAATATCATTCATCAATCAACCAACAAAGATTTATTAAGCAAAGTGCCTTCTATGTCCCAAGAATTGTACTAGGCACTGGGGACATAAAGACAGAAATGAAACATTCCCTGCCTCAAGAAACTTATATTCTATTAAGGAAGAAAAGTACACATACAAGTATATAAAAATATCTGAACTGGGATAGCCAAATGATCAGTATGCATTTATTAAATGCTTAATATATACCAGACAGTGTGCTAAGTATTAAAGATACAAAGAAAGGCAAAAATAGTTCCTGACTGCAAGGAATTCACATTCCAGTGGGGAAGGCAATATGCAAATAACTATGTACATACCAGATCTATAAAGGGTACATTGGAGGTTATCTCAGAGGAAAGACTAGACCTGTGATTTCATCCTTACCAATGCCATTCTACACCTTTTCTCCACCTTATCATCTTAGTTGGTTAGAGCAGAGATGTCAAACAAAGCAGGGATGCGTAACCAGATTAAAATGTAACTGGAAAATATTTAACAAAACAAATAGGGGCAGCTAGGTGGCACAGTGGATAGAGCACGGGCCCTGAAATCAGGAGTACCTGAGTTCAAATCCAGCCTTAGACCAAACACTTGACACTTACTAGCTGTGTGACCCTGGGCAAGTCACTTAACCCAACTGCCTACAAAAACAAAAACAAAACAAATAAAAATATAATAAAACAAATAATATTACATTTTAAAACCAAGTCAATATACACCCCTTAGTGATCCTTATTTACAATTTAGTGGTCCCCGTTTCTATTTGAGTTTGACACCAATGGCCTAGAGTAGAGAGGTTTATGGAGAGGTCAAGAGTGACTTTTCCAGGGTCATCTGATATATATATCAGAGGATGGACCTTGAACTCATGTCTCCCTGGATCTGAGTCAAGCTCACAACTGACAATAGCGCTGCAATATACTATACAAAATATATGCAAAATAAATATAAATTAATTGAGGAAGGGGAGAATTACTAGCAGCTAGCTGGGGAGACCAAGAAAGGCATCACGAAGTACAGAGAACTTAAGTGCTTACCCCAACAGCAAAATCCTTATCCCCATCTCCTTGAGAGCAACGAAACCTCAACATTCAGAAAACAGTTTCGCAAGATGATTGCTCCCCTCCTCCCCCTTCTTGGAATGTGTGATGCTGGCCATGCAAGCATACTTTTTGACTTGCTGCAGTTAATTCTGAGGGGCTAAAGTTCCTTTTTGAGATCTATGTCAACTAATTTAAAACGGCTCCTATCAGCTGCCAGGCACAAGGCAAAAATGTTTCTTTAACAGGACCCACGTGTGGAACTGGAAAAGGGGGTGGTTAAACTGGCATCTCAGACATCCTGTGGGCTATTGTTGAATGACATATTCTCCGGCCCATAGACTTCACTGCCTTATCTGGGGGTCAGGATGACCGCGGTCATGACCGCACAGACCCAACAGATCCAGACAGAAGCCAAAAATGCATTTTGCTGCCATGAAAAGGGGGAAAGGATTGCTTTAGACAAAAAGTCATTGCTTACACTCTTGGTTGCATGCCAGCTGATCCTGTTCTGACCTCCCTGGTTCAAACAAAATCCCTGCCTCTGATTCTCTTAGTGGTCACCTCCCTTCCCCTACTGGATTTTCTATTTCCAGCTCAGGTCCTTGTGCCTCTGAAACATACTGACTCCTGATCTAGTGAGCTCTGGTTTATATGGTCACTGAGAGTCTATTCGGGTCACTCTCAGAAGAGAGGCACTTTCTTTCACCCTGGCGATTGCTAAGAACAGTCATCCGTTGTTTCCTTTATGGAGAATGTGGCAATAACAACTTTGAATCCAGCATACATGACTTCTTAGAGTTCACCTGTAGCCAACCTGGTGGCAAGCCCCTTCTAGCTTAGCTAGGGCTCCCAGATGATAGACATATATAGCTTGGTAGGACCCACCTGACTTACTGTGTGTGACCCTGGGCAAGTTCCTTACTAATAACAATGACAACAACAATAATGAAGATCTATATGGCACAAAATCACCATATACTAATATGGTCTGCAAAGCACTCTGTGCACTATGGCGCCCCCTAGCTGTCCCAAACTGTTATATTTACCCTCTTTATAATTGCATGTACACACTTGTATTCCCCATCAGAGGGACAGTAGGAATCGTTGTGTTCTTTGTATCTGTATCCCCAGTATCTAGCTCAATGCCTGACACATAGAAGGCATTTAATATACGCTTGCTGATTGACAGGCTGTGCTTCACCTTTGAGAATACATAATCAGTCATCTACAATTCCATTATAAAGTGATACAAGAAGACAGTGGTGATGATCCCATTTTTCTTGCAATATTTAGGGGAAATGTTCCACTATCTAAATATTGTTGGGTCCTCAACTTCTTGTAACTCATTGACCATCTTGTGACTCTTTAGGATTCTTTATTCTCTCACTTCTAATATGCATAACCACACTCCCCCTTAGAGGCAGCTAGTGGGTACAGTGGATAAAGTGGTGGGCCCTGAGTCAGGAAGACTCATCTTCCTGACTTCAAATCTGGCCTCATACACTTACTAACTGTATGACCCTGGGCAAGTCACTTAACCCAGTTTGCCTCAGTTTTCTCATCTGTTAAATGAGCTGGAAAAGGAAATGGCAAATCACTCCAGCATCTCTGCCAGGACAACCTCAAAAGGGGTCATGAAAAGATGGACACAACTGAAAAACAACTAAACAAAAAAAATCAGTCCAGGGAGGCACAGCTGGGAAATGCTTAGTGACTTCCCCCTCCGGGAGTAGGATGCTTCCATTTTTCTTTTCTGTAGTCACCTCTGGACCACAAGCTGCTTATTATGTGCTGAATGTCAGTGCCATTGATTACACTGAAGAAACTCACAACTCAACTGACAGGTTAGGAGGGATTTAGTCACAATACCAGAGTACCAATTATGAGGACGAAGAAACAAAATCTTGGGTTTTTAATGCAAATGCAATCTCAAGTTTTCTGGTGATTCTTTTTAGTACATTATCATAGTAGTCCTTCCTGGTTCTCAAAGCCATGTGATAAGACATTAAATAAGCATGAGTATTGTCCTATAGAGCAGAGGCATCAAACTCATAGGAGTGGAATTGGGAAATATTTAGTTAGATAAATAAAAATACAGTACAACACAGATAGCCTTAATTTGTAGTTTTCTAAGTCGATCCGTAGCCTGCAGGGATCTGTTTCTATTTGAGTTTGACACCATGGCTAATCTGCTATTACAAATTAAAAATCTTTATAGAGCAGGGTTTCTAATCTTTTCTGTTACAGGAACCTCCCTTATCAGTCTGGTAAAGCCTATGGACTCCTCAAAATAATGTTTTTAGATACCTAAAATAAAATACATAGGATTAGAAAAGAAGTTAATACTATTGACATACAGTTATCAATTTCTAAAAATTCATGGACACATTAAGAATCCCTATTATAGGGGCAGCTAGGTGGCGCAGTGGGTAGAGCATCGGCCCTCCAGTCAGGAGGACCTGAGTTCAAATCTGACCTCAGACCAAACACTTGACACTTCCTAGCTGTGTGACCCTGGGCAAGTCACTTAACCCCAATTGCCTAAAAACAAACAAACAAACA